ATAGATCTCTGCTCTGCAATCTCATATTAGACGTATTTTATACAATAATATTCTACAATCTCCCAAAAATATGCATTAAAACCATAACTAGGGTAAGGTGACCAATGTATGTAAGTCTGTTTCTCACATATGTCGTCCTTACCTATTGTGTCGATTTAATAAAATCTACGTTCAGATATATATATTAATTATAAAAATATTAATTATTTTCCATAAGAACTTACTGTAAAAGTACGTTTGTTAAACTATTAAAATATACATTAAACACCAACTAGCTGGCGATTCACTTGATATCAAGCGCTTCCGTCGGCTACGGACGACCGTATCACCCTTGGGTTTGCAGTAATTTAGCCAACCCTTAAGAGTAAGGGTTACCGGTTACCTCATACAGCAGACGAAGTGCAAAATATGTATAATTTTCTGAATGAGCCCCAGTTGTTAAGAAAAATTGTAGTTATAGAAACAAATTATCACACATAAGTTAATGTTGACGAACGGAAACGCCTCTAAAAAATCCCAAGGTCGTTTATTTTTAATTTTCAAACATACCAAAATGAATAAAATCGCTAGGGAAGCATAATTTTTTAGCGTAGGACATTTCGGTAAACGATATAAACCTTTTTTTCTGCTCTTGTCCATCGCTAGATTACAAAAAGTCATGATAATAAAAACAAACTGAGAATATTGTTAAAAATGTTTACAATAAACATAAATAATGTGACAACGATAGTGGCATGCAATAGCAATCCGGCTACCCACTGCGGCCCTACCTGTGCAAACACCCGTACAATGGAATGGCCTAACGCGCCCTCTATGAGTTATTAGGAGCGCCCCTTCGAAGATATTTCATCGATTTTATTGTGGCTCCAGTGTCAAGCCCGTCTCGACGATAGCTATAAAAGGCTGACGTGATTTTTTGCGCAACGCTCTTGTTTCACGCAGATTTATCCTGCATAATTTCCACTAACTGTCATTCCGTGTTGTGTTGTATAGCAGCTTAAAAAAATTATAGACAAAGTTTTGTTTACCGTCTTTAATCCCTTTTTTCTGAACAGACTGTTACAATTACTTACACGCCGATATAATTAAAAACTTTATCAATGTTCCTTGTTTTGTAACGCTTTATTTTATATGGGATAAAAGTTACGGCGAAAAAAAGCCAAGAACACGTGACATCATGGAGAAAAATGAACTTTTGTCCGCCTCGAGTGTAGTAAGAGGTTCTATAAAGGCCTCCAATCGTATCAGTTAACCCGTGCTCACCTGGCTTCAAATATTCTCCCACAGAATAAAAAAAGCTTCTTATAAAGAGATAAATTATTGCATTATGGCTTTTTGAAAGAGTCCACTGCTGCTGAGAAATGACAATATTATTAAAAAGTACGCATCTTTGTCACACTATCTTATTGTATTCGATATATTGTCGCCATAATAAATGCAGCTCCTTTATAGCGCGGGCATTGTGTCCCCTGCCTTTGTGGACATTATTAAATATATTTTAAAGAGTTTTATTAATGGTGGGCGTCGCAAAGAGAATGTTTGATTTATTTTTTCGACGCGTGTGCTCGCCGTTCATTTGATATCCTTCAATCATTTGAATAAATTTCGTCCGGTATGTTTTTTATCGAATGAGCTTTACCGGAGTAATTTTATGAGAACTTTTTAAGACGCGTATACAATAAAGTTCTGGACGATTTTTTGACTTAACTAATAATTAAATTATTTATCATTATGAAATCAATAAAATGATTTAAATAAAACATGTCTTTAAATCTATATAAAATTATTTCTTTTATAATTAGAAAAAAAAGTATATAATTATATTAATAAACCATTTCATGTATTCATCGAATGGAATGAAAATCGAAGGAAGAAAATTTATTCGGAGATATCCAATTTTCGGAGATAAGTTAGTGGCCTGCGTCTTTCTTTGCATTTTATAAATTTATAAATAAATCTGTAGTATCTTGCTCATTTAATCGAATTAGGTTCAATTAAAAAAAATCAAAAGTTGAAATGCTTAAAACAACACCGCTTTATTAAGGTATATATTAAATGTATTTATGTATCTAATTTTCGAAGTTGACTTATGGACTTTTTTCATGCTTTGTATCTTAAATTTATATAGAACTAGCTGCTGCCTGCGACAACGTCTGCGTAGTATAGGCTGAAGGCGTAACATTCAGACAGAAAAACAGATATACATAAAATATGTATATAAATTATAGCCTATGTCTTATTCTGATGCAAAGGTATACTATGGTAAATTTTAATTTAAATCCATTCATCTCAACAAACATCCATCTATACATACAAACTTTCGCCTTTATAATATTAAGTAAGGATTCTGTAGTATCGTATCCATTCTATCGCATTACCTTTAATTAAAAAAAACTCAACTAGATCCAACGAAATGCTTAAAAAATACCGCTTTGTTAAGGCCGACATTCGAGTATCTACCATTTATAAAAAAGTGTTATAATCTAAGAAACGCTTACGAGCTCCCACAAACCTGTTCAGAAGCTGCGAAAAATTCGACTATCAAAACACTTTTTACTGTTTGGAAATATGAATCCTTACGCCTCTACAATAACATCGCTCCAAATCGATTCAATTATCGCTCCCGCACGAAAAGGTTTACGATCTTAAACAGGTACGTCATACACTTTTTGCTAGAGGTTCTGCCGATTCGGTTATATCTCTGATGTATTGTCCTTAACACCTGCGATACGCTTACACACGGCCGTCTTTTTGATATGCAAATCTTCAATGTAGAGTGTCGTCTTTCCTCATTTCCAAATCCGACCCACTGTTAAAGAAAAAACAATCTAATGTGACATGGCCGTAGGGCAAACGTCATGTATAAAGGCTGGAATTAATTTAGAAATTTAATTTTTTTATAGTATAAAGTTTATTTTTTTATAGTTTAAAGTTTATTTATTTTTTTATAGTATATATATGTATAAAGGCTGGAATTAATTTAGAAATTTAATTTTTTTATAGTGCTAATCTCTGCACTTACCAAATTTTCTACAAATACACTACCAAGTTTTTTAAAACGCTTACCAAGTTTTCTAGAAATTATAAAAATCGGATTAATTTAAAACTTATTAACTTAATTATTTATTTTTAATCGGATAAAAAGACAACCAAATTTATGTTTGATGTGTTATCTTAAACTGTGCTAGGGCCACGCAAAAGTCTTCGCTGTTGCATGACATGGGCAGGTCCGTCCAGGTAAGTACCACGACACCACAGAAGATCGGCGTGAAGTGTAAGGGTTATACTTCTGCATTTCGTCTGGTGAGCGAGGTAGCCGGGCCCTCCTTATTAAAGGGTGGCACTGCATCTGCAACTCTGCGGTTCTTGAATATCTCCATGGGCAGCGGTTATCACTTAACATCAGGTGAACCGCAAGCCACCTACTCGCATAAAATAAGAAACCAATATCGTATTTATTTTATATTTTTATTGCTTTGGTTATCATAAGATATACTCGTGCTAAGCCTGTCACTGACGTCTTAATGCTGTATGCAAGAATATTGATAGTCGAAAGCTAGCGGAATGGATACGTCCGGAGTTAAACCGGAAACCTATCCAATCATGCATCAGCAAACTATTTGACTGTCATAACTTCTATCAAACCAAATTAATAGTAACGTTCGCAATCTCAAAATATGTCTTGTTTCATTAATTGTATTGTATAGAAATTAGATTGAATTAATGGCAGATACTTGGGCACTCGCACGTTAATTTGATTTAAGTTTGAGAGTGACATTTATGTGCATATACCTAATATCCAAATAATGTCATATTCGATACAAGTAAATAATTTCAATTTCAAATTTAACGATAAAAAAATAATATAAAAATCGTTGTAAATCTCGTTCATCCGCGTACGTTATACAGATATAGGTAGTATTAAAAATATTTCATTTATGTGAAAAAAAACGTCAAGAAGTAAACACGGGACTCTTAAAAATTTGAATAACGAATAATACCGCATTAAGTTGAAATTACAAATACGCGCCGGTGCAGCCGTCTCTACATGTGATAAATCGGACTCTAGCTCTACGTGTTACAACTTACGTAGGACACTGCTCGGGTCAATAAATATCATCGATACCACGTGGCGCTTAACAAATGATCAGAACGTGCTTTGCCACCGGTTCGCTTCGCTATCTAGAATTGATTGTCGGACATTAAAAGGAAGCTGAGGCCGTATCTTAAGCGATAGTTAAATACAATTAAATGAATGATGATATACTTCGAATGCACTCTTAATGTGTGATGACAATCGACCTACAAATTAATTAAAAGGACCAACAAGAGCTGTAAATCAGCTGTCTTTATTGCCATTATTGGGATGAATTAATTTCAGTCATTCTATTCTTACGTCTCCAAGTGATCTCCAGTCCAGAAATATTATTCCTCATCGATCATCAGTACTTTGGGTGATGTACCTATTACCATTTCAAATTGAAAGGGGTTGAAAGATCACCCACTAGGTGGACGGTTAAATCGTAAGAGCCATCATCCAATGTTGCCTTCAGGCTAATGATGATGATCACGATTTTATCTTTTCGTTTCATCGTATCACATTTTAGCTTTTCTAACCCTTTCTGTGATACATGCAGCATTTCATGTAAGGACGTAAAACTGCTGAAATGAGCATGAAATTTTAAATCGACAAAACTAAGGTAATTATTATAAAGATAACTATATATAGTATGTATGTATCGGCAACTGCAATACAATTTTGTAATTTAAACATACTTTTGCTGACACTCATATTTTTAAGACTGACATTATACAGATATACAGGGTTGATTTTTTTACCATACTTGTAGGGAAAGTAATACTACATACTAACTAATGGATTCCATAGAAAATATAAAAGTCCTGCAAAGCGATTTTATTTTTCGCCAAAATCAGGCCATAAAACTTTAGAGTTCCTGCGCTTTGATTATGGTGGAAGTAACGCTTTCTTTCGCTTCCTATCCTACTCGCGGTCTAATAACATCACACTCCTCATCCCACTTAGGTGGGTTCAGGACAATATGTGAATCATGTTGTAGTAGATTACGACCGGCCGCCTGCATCAACCCTTCTTGGAAACAAACGCAGATCGAGAACAAATTATCTGTTGGTCACAAAGATACGTACTTTTCAAGTGTGGGAATCGAACCCGCCCAAGCCGATAGCTTAGCAGCCACCGAGTAGTCTCCAGACTGCGGTTTGAAAATTTTAAAATTCGAACAGCCCACCGCGGTGGTCCGCCCGCCGGGTGACAGCGCGTGCCCCAGTTTACCTACTTACCGCCACTCGACGCCACTTCCGGAACAACAGCAACCTCTACGCGCAAGGGCAAGTGTTTGGCGGAGCTGAGCCAGCTGCGTGCGCACGCGCTCTTAATGATGCGAACGCATTGTCCCGCTGAAGTGGCGCACTGGTGGTCCGGAGTTAGCATACCGATCGCCACTCCACGCTTTTCCTGCTACTTTTATGTTTATTGTTTGCACCGCCGCACAACGCCGCCCGAGTGGCGTCGGCCATATAACTATAGTGTTTTTGTTTTAGCGAAACATACGCAGCCGTCACCGGCGGGCGTTTAGCGATTCGGTCTCGAAAATCTCTGTGAATAATCGATGTGGCCGAAACAAACGTTTATGTATACTTATATCTAAAACATTAAAAAGAAATCTCTGTTCTCGCTCGTTAAAGCCGATTAATTATAAAACGTTTATTTGCGTATATTTACAACATGAAAAGTCCTAATTGTTATGGTAGTAATAAAGTTATTAAAACATTCAAAAGTCAAAAGAGGACAATCGGTAAAATCAAAAACGGGAAATGAAGAACATATTGAAAAGAATTCGATAGATGTATAAGACACACAGAAAACTTTCGTTAAGTTTTTTCCATCGGCCATAATACAATGCTAAAAGACAAAAGTCTTCAAACACCTGTGACAAGGCCAGGTCAGGCTTCTGCTGATGCACGAATGGGCAGATTCGTAAATACCTACATACCTTTAAGTGTAAAAGTATACTATCCTTTCACGTTTTGTTTAGTATGAGAAATTTCAGGCTTCTGCTGATGCACGAATGGGCAGATTCGTAAGTACCTACATACCTTTAAGTAAGTGTAAAAGTATACTATCCTTTCACGTTTTGTCTAGTATAAGAACTTTTTCAAAGTTGGCAACGCAGCTATTAACCCTCAGGAGTTATAAAGATAAGTAGAAGTTTTTTTTTACTAAACAAATGAATAAATATGCATAAGCTATGCTGTGCGACTTGGATGAGGCCTCAATTCAACAGCAGACTGCTGCAGGCTTATAATGATGTGAAAAATCTTTTTTGTAGCATTCGCAACCTGTCTAATTAACATGAATAAATGTTACATAAGCATATACTTATTCTATATCTGGTTTCTTTTGAGGATGCAATAATTTTATTAACTGGCCTGTTGCCGCAACAGTAGTGCTGCGCCGCTCCACCCGATGTCTGAAATCAATTGTATACAACTGCAAATGCGTTACAAAAACCGTTGATTTACACTCCCTTAAAAATTTATTTTACCGCTTTCATTTAAACTTCTGCAAACAAACTTTCCCACGGGTCTGAATCTGATTAAGCCTTAAATATTCTTGGGACAGTCTCTGTAACTTTAGTCAACACAAGACAAAGGCGTTTAGATTGTATAAATAATGTAGATACCTAAGAAGTTCCAAAAATTAATAAGTAGTCGTTCGTAAATTGAAGAAAACTAAAACTTTTACAGCTATTTGTAAACCTGTTTTATCATGGAACGCGTTAAACGTGAAAGAGATGCAATTATTCAAAATTAAATTTGACAAAGACGAGTTGGCGACTTTGTCAGTGACATAAACGATGTCACCAGTAACACGCAGCTGAATATACGAAATTATTAATGTATACTAAGAATCCATTATGAATTCGTATAACTTTCTTCTTTAAATACTTAACTGTCAACACCAAACTACACAGAATGAGCTCACAGTAGCCATAATGTAAAACGAAAATAAGAAAGCCCGACGGTTTCCCGATTTTAATGTGATATTATGGCGTGAATCATCTCAGTCTGTCCTGTGACCAGACTATGGACGTAGTTAGATATTGTAATCGCCGAGATTTCAAATATAAAACTAAAATCAATAAAATCAATAAAAAAGTTTTACTTAACAAAGTGAAATCAAGTACCATAAATAGTAATTCAATTATTTCTAAACAACAAAATCAATTCAAAACACTATAATAATGCAGTTCGAGTGACATTTGAAGGCAAAGTCTAATGCCATTTACTAATGAAGTAATGAAAACATTACGCCAAAGAGACGAAGGAAAGCTTAGGACGATAAACCGATAAGTGTTGTCAGCGTCACGATGGTACATTGTGTACTTACACAATGTACAAACGTAAACGTTACGTTAAGCGATGGACTATTGAACATTGTCTCGTACTTCGTCAATTATTCGAAAACCACCGTATTTTAACTAAGAAAGTTAAAAATTGTAAAAATAAAGAGTAAGCAATAAGTAAATATGTCCCATTTTATGCGACGCTCTCTCGCTCGTGGCTACAATAACGAATAACGAGATGTTAAGTGAATACCGTTGCCCATCAACATAAAATATAACACCCACAGGTGCGATGCCACCTTAAAAAGGATGGGTACTGGTTACCTCACTAGCTGATATGCAAACATAAAAATATCTTACGCCGATATTCTTTGAGCCAGCATCGATCAACACACAACAGCAGAAGCTGTCGCTTGACCCCATTACGGTTTACGATATATTAATTAAAAAAAAATCATCGTAAAGTTCTTAAATATAGCGAAACTCGCGCGTAACGCCACCAGGCCGGAGCGAGGCGGCTTTGAAAAGGAGGCGTCATAAACTAAAAGAAAAAGGGTGATTGCGAGGTAAGACTGTAAACAGAGCGGGGGATGATCGTTTGAAGTCTCCTACAAAGCTGGCCTGGTGAGTGGAGGGGGTGTCTACGGGGGAAGGGGAGGGGAGGCAGATCGTATCTGACTCCGAACTGCCACGGACAGATAACGAGCATGTGCGGGCCCGAATTTTAATACACAATATCGCCGGTTTATGTTTACGGTCCGACGGCCACTGCTAAATTGAATGCTACCAACTGATGTTTGTAATGGACGCGCTCGCCAATGTCGTCGTACGATGGATTGATATTGTCCCGTTATTCGAAAATTAAAAACTTAATTAATATTTTTTTTTTGTTTATATTATGCGTTTTGGTGTTTCGGAAAGGAATCAATTACTGCTGCTTTATTTTCGTCATCCGTTTAAATATTAAAATTTTTGAAATTCCGCTCTACCCGCTTAAATGGTAGTACCAACTGATTGATAGAAAGATTCTTAATCCGTAAACGGTATCTAAACACAGATAAACTTGTGTTTGAATAAGTTAATAGAGTTTAATTGATTTATGTTTTTTTTATATATAAACTCATAAAATTTTATTTTAAATTAGAGGATGGCACACGACCTGACGGTACACCTGAAGTGAAAACCGTCGCCTTTTTAAATTTGCAACACTCATAAAGTTGCAGATGTGTTGCCACCCTATAATATAGTGGGTCCCGGCTACCTCACTTACCAGACGAAACTCAGAACTATAATAACACTTACACTTCACGGCGGTCTTCTGTGAAGTCGTGGTACTGACCCGGACGAATCTGCCCATTCGTATAACTGTCTTGTAGTCCTACCACAGTTAAATACAATACCCATAAGATACATCAAACATGAGTAATAAATTAACATATTGTTGTTTATTTACTTAAGCTAAATCAAGTATTTTCACATGTCTTGTTTCATTTTTGACGATTCAATAGTTTTACGTATATTATTAACTATAGCTTCACACAAACATGTTTAGTGAAGTAACCGTAAACAATTACAAAAATGAAAAACAAATAAATTGTAATCTTTAGATTAGTCTAGTCTAGTCAAGTCGCCAAATAATTCTAAACGTTTTTATTGACCTCAAGGTTCGTTGCTGAAGTCCTGACAAAATAAATCCAGCCACATTTAAAAGTTCTTCGCAAGCATCACTTTTAATATGTTATGATCAAGAAAATGAAAGCCTTTGATGTTTTTAGATATTTATTTCTTCCATATATCACTATCTTACTTAACAACAATCTAAATCTAATTTGGGAACTACGCGATTGTCTAACAATAAAGTAAAACCAAAATTGAACCTGTAACGCGAATAATTGCAACAAAAACGCGACCAATAAAATAGATTCAGAATTATATTTGGCTCCGTATGCACTTTCAAATGGTGACTTCAGTATAATTCTGTTCGAGTGCATATAGAGGGTGTGTTATCAAGTTTTCCATGAAAAATGCAAACGGAACGGGTCGATACTGAGGCGTCCCCCGCGTCCCGCAGGTGCGACGAGATAATCCAAGATGGCCGCCGAGATAGGACGTGACGTCACAGCGGACCCCGCGCCTCCCACTCCACGCCGCGCATCCTCAGAACCTCACGCCACCCTCCTTAGATCCTTTCAGAAATCCCTCGAATACCGTCAGCGTGTCAAACGCCTTAAAATATTGTTTAAGTTGGAGTTTATAACATAATGGAGTAGTATAGTAGGTATTACACAGAAAAACTGCTTAAAATCTTTCTTTCTATGTGTGCGTAGCGATCTTCACTTTTAAATTGTGATTAATCACATTAACTAATTCAAATAATGTTCCGAAAATATTTTAAATCCAATGTGCAATGACGCCAACTTCTTGTGGATTATTTTACTTTCCATGGATAAAAAGGAATTCTTTTGCCAACTATAGGACTTCTATAATTAGGCTGGGTAAACATATACAAGCTGGTGCTGTCAATTTATCGATCGATAGTTGTGGGTTCAGCAACATTTGCTATTGCATGGAGCGTTTAGAGAAGTGGGACTACTGGTGGCCTCACAGAAGAGGGCGTGAGCGGTAGATATCATGCCTTGTATGTCATCTATTGAGCGAGATGACCGGTGCCCAAGCTTGTGAAGTTTGGCAACGCACCTGCAACTCTAAAGTTGTTAAGATGTTTATGGCGATAATCACTCAACATTAGGTGGTAAAGTGGAGGCTTACCATCTTCTAATCCAAGAAATTAAATGTTGAACGAGTACGGTTTTGCGAACAGTACTGGAGGGAGGGTAAGCACTATGTGCTGTGAGCTATGTAAGGGGTTATCTCCTCAGTGGCTGCTCTATCTAAATCTGTATTATCGCAACACGCCGCCGAATAATTATTATTAGTTGTACAAACTGTGCTTTCGTATATCGTATACCTGCTGCCTGCACCGGCCATATTGATCGAATTTCCTTTCCGTAGACAGGACGCAGGCTGGCTGAAACGTAAGCAGAACTAATTAAACAAATTATTTCCTTGAATTAATCATTTAGGTTTAAATATACTTTTAAAATTTTATGATTTACGGTGGTAGGGCCACACAGCAGCCTCGGCTGTTGCACGAATGGGCAGGCCCGTCCGGGTAAGTACCACGACCTCACAGAAGACCGCCGTAAAGTGGAAGTATGACAAATACTTTCGCGTTTCGTCTGGTGTGAGGTAGCCGGAGCCCAATTTTCAAAAGGTTGTCAACGCATCTGTAACCCTCGGGTGTGGCAGATGTCCATGGGCGGCGGTATTCACTTAACATCAGGTGAACCGTCTGCTCGTTTGACAACTTTTCGCATAAAAAAAAAGAAGATTAAAGTGAAGTTTTTAATTATCTGTCGTTATCAAAAACGTGAATAGAATTAAAATAAAATTTAATTTGATAAACGTCCGTAAATATATTCCGTTATATAAAATCCAATATCCTAACATCGTTTAACGCTATAAGTGAATCTTTTTAAACAAGAATTTCACAAAAATCTTTGAAGTGAGCAAGCTAAGAGAAACCTTTTATAAATTCATAATAACTACTATTCCTAAGTGCAGTCAGATTTATTTTTAACCAGCAATGCGATCATTCTAAGAAATCAACACTTGAACCAAAACCTGATCAAACTATAATTACAAATAATAAAACAATTATTTAAAAAAATATTTAATTTTTACATAAGATTAAAGTTCTCATTATATTAATTCATGACTTAACTAGTAAGCGTCAATAACATTTCACGAAAACTTAAAATTACATCTCGGTGAAGAAATCTGCAGAAGCTATATGACTGTTAATATTTTTAAATGTGTGTAAGATAACTATGTATTCGAATGTATGGTTGACGGTATACACTTAAGTTCAATCGGGTGTTAATAAATAATAAGGCTATATTCGAGACTTTTAAAATAGGAATAAAATTAAATAAAATTTGATTCAATAATTCAATGAGAAGTACGCGTAAGTGAATAATCAAAGCTGTTACATATACCATAAAAGCTGACAAAGGAATTAAACTTTAAGAAGACAAATGATTCTTGAGAGCTCTATTCAACATGCATCCTCGATCACTTAATCCTAGTAATCCGTCATGAACAATGCTTCCCCCTATAAAGGACAAAGGGCTGAAGGGTCTAACTGAAGTAACGGACCTCTTGACTGGAGGTGACGAGGTAACTCGACGTGGCACGACCTGCCCTATCGACATCATCACGGCGTAAAAGGCACTTCGATTCGCGTAATAATCGTCCTACAGTCGAACGGAGTATGCGAACGGCGCATCCTTAGTCGAGGGGTGATCCCCGTAAAAACGGTGCATTATATGCGACCTCTCCTGTGCCGTGAACTGTTGTGAGTGCAACGCGCTGTCTTATCTATATCTCGTGTGTCACAGATGTCTGCACGTGTCACGCGTGCTATTCAAATATGAGGATATTCATTTTACGATTAACATTTTACCATTGTGAAGAACACGAACATTATTGACTGCGCGCACGACTCAAGGACTAACGTGATTTTAGGATAATGACTCGGTGGCTTAGTTGCTAAGTTCGCGGGTTTGATTCTCACATGGTACAAGTATTTGTGCGACCTACAGATAATTGTTCCGGATCTGGATGTTTGTTCCTAAGGGATGTTGACGTCAGGCTGACCACTGGTCATAAAATACTAGCTAAAACCACTTACATCATCATTCACATGTTGTGGCGGCCCTACGTAGGTGGGATAAGTTCAGGAGGATGGTTATGCTTAGTACTATTTGAATACATGCTTTATTTATTCTCTTAAAACAATAATATATAGATTAATTTGGATAAAGAAACTCCATTATTTTTCATTACTATTTACTTTCTATTCAATTTGCATTTGCAATAATTGTTAGAAACAATTAGGTAAATATGTTTATTTTAACAAATTACGATGCATTCCAAACCAAAATGCGTTTGGCGCGTTGTAGTAAGGGCTGGCACACACGCGCCGTCTCGCGGCGGAAATGGCGTCTAACCGGATATTGTATCGCGGCTTCATCTCCGGCGGGCTTCCTATTCCGCCCGCCTCCCACAGGCCTGTGCCTCGCCTAATTACTACGTCATGTACTTTAACTTAGTAATATTGTAAGTGATTTATCAAAATAGAAGCGACTAGGATATACAAGCAGTTTATGCTTATCTATAAATAAACGTGGCATACCGTAGCCAGAGACAATTTAAGGAGACGGAGTGACTGCAAATGCGAATGACGTTTGAAAAAAAATCTCCAGTGATAAAAGTTCATTGATTATTAATATTAAATTAAAAATTAAAAATTAACGAAGAAGGAAAACTTCTCCGGTCTTAAAAACATAAGCTTTGATTTTAGTGTACTCAAACTTCGAGGTACCTTAGTTCAAATCCCGATAGCGGCACCAATCTCCATTTTTAATTCTTCCTGCGTTTTTTCGAAAATATGCAAGTACCCAATGTACAAAAAATATTTCGAAAATATGTGAAGTCTAGACTAGAAGAGTGATGAATATGAATGTGTTTGGAGGGTGTGAAGAATGATATGTGTGTGAAAGGGGTGAGTATTGACAAGTAGAAGGAAAATGCATGTTATGCCGACCTCATCTAGTGTGGGAGTTAGGGATAAGGCCAGGAGAAAGAAGAAAGGACAAAGAAGAAGACTGCCAATCCGCAGTAGGTAGTGGTTTACAATACCCTAATATCCTGGGTACAGAAGAGACCTTTGGCCATATACTATAGCGTGTTACTTTTACTTTTTACTTTCTTAATAGCAACTATCATATTTATATAGGAATTTACTTAAATGACCTCCAATGGAAAAAAGATGAGATGAGATTAGTTATATGTTATTATTACAGTTTCTTTAAAATCATTTAATAAAATAACAAACACTGGCTCCTTAAAGGCCGCGTATTAAACAGTCATAACTGCGATGAACCACAACATAGAACAACAAAATTAATTAATAGATTGGGATCTGAACATCACATCTAGCTTAATAGTTTTTTTGGCCATCCCACCAAATGTTTAGTGGGCTCAAACCTAAACTATTGATATCCGCGTTTCCACTAGTTCATAAATATTTCAAGTATATTAAGTGACGCCAACCAGTGTATTTTTACAAAACAGTAGTTTATGCATGTACGGAATTATTATTACTTTCACTTTCGTAATGACTCCTAATACTCGTACAGAGCAATCCGATCGGAGAAATGGCAAAATGTTTCGTCTGGTGAAGAAGATGGCAGATGGTTTTCTTTAGTCGGCAACAGATCGACATCGTCTCTAACGTTGGAAGCGTCCATAGTCGTTCTTCACCAATCATTACTTGTTGCGCTTTTTAAATAACCGATTAACAACTATATATATAATATAACAAATTTAATTAACTTCCCCAAAGAGCCGAGAAACGCGACCACAGATTGCGTTTAAGTCGACGAAACCAACGCTGTTTTACGGAACGACAGTCACAGCTCAATATAGGGTGACATTCTCATAAACATCCTCGACATCTGTCCTTCAACGACACTGCTGTCAACATTCGACACCATTACAAGCGGTCCGCTCGCATTTGCAGCGCCGCTAACAAGCCGCGGACACGAGAAACAAATGTCTCCGTCGGTAAAACCCCGCGAATTTATCCGACCCCACGCTAACCAAAGATGGGGGGCAATTAAAACTGCGTTGCTGGTGCTACGTCAGTTCATAGGTCGCGCTATACCATCTGCCCGTTATCGACCACGCTTACCGCCGTTTTAGTTGTTATGCGAGTTCAATTTAGCAACAATTGTTGTTGCGTTCGCGTCTCCCTCCGATACCAGAGATTGTGGTTACACTTAATTTTTTATTAAGTTGCTTGTTAGACAGCGAAATCATCAATTAGGTTACAAACCTAAATGTTTAAGCGAATTTTCATTCGGTAGTTAAAACTTCTTCGATTTTGTTACAGAATTAACCATTCTTTTTATTCATCCTAAATGTTGTACTCTTCAACATTTATCAAATATTTATTAAACTATTCAGACGTCATTAATGTTTCAAAATACAACGTTATCTTAATGATAATAGTAAATAAGTGTCAAACGATCAAAACAGGTACTTTGAAAGACCATAATTATTACGGTAATAATGTCAGTGCATGCCTATGGAAGACAAAACTGGCATCATAAATATTGGATACGGTCCTATGAATACCATTTCCATTAATGGTACGCTGGGATAATTGATTACATTTATAAATAGACATGTAATTACCAAATAATTGAAAGTGACTCCACACAGCGTCGTCTTGTAACTTTGAAATTGTAAACAGATGTTGAATGTACTTAATTTAATCACTTTATTATTTTTTCTAACACGTTTTGAAAGGTCAAGCTGTTTTATCATTTGCAATTACGATTACATTCAAGAATGAAGAGAAATTTTCAAGAAATGCATTCACTTACTTCTTTGTAGTATTAAATTTTATAATATTTGTTTTTATAGCGAAATATTAAAGGCTGTGCACAAATTAGTCGTGTGTTATGATTTTTCAAAAACTCAAACTTAACATTACACCTGATTACAAATGGGTTAAATAGGCATTCATGTAAATTCACATGTATAATCACTATTACCTAAGTAACCGGCCGCCATTTTAGTTTTGAAAGTTGTTGGAATAAGTGGTCAATCAAATAAATTTATTAATATATTTCTTTCCCTCCATTTATAAAAACATTTGGTTGATATTTAAACGTACTGACACATTAGCATGACCATAGCGGAAGAGTCCATTATGTTATCTTATATCCCCCAGAGTATTCTGTTGGGAAGTATCGCCCCAAAATCTGATTTAGTGCCGTCTCTCATTACATCACCGCCCTCGATTACAATCCGTGCGGTCTTCAGAGATACCGGAACAAGACAGATATAAATAACAATTAATATTAATTATGTATTCGTATAGCACGTGTTTGAAGTTACTGAACGGGTTTTTTTAGTCTTATAGTTGAAAATAAACTTTTGACAAGAACCTAGAATATAACGCTTCTATTTTAAAAATATATTTACAGTGCATTCACTGTGTCACTTTTACACCAAACCTTCCCTTACACCTTAATATATATAAATTCACCAGAAACAAGATTATCAATTAAGTCCGTTTATTAAAGGACATAGCAGGTACGTTGCATAAAATTCAATGAAAACTAAATGTAAACTACAGTGCTGACTCGGTTGGAAAATTGTTAACTCAAAGAATAAGCCAATTGTCTGAGCTATTAAACTAATTTAGGCGTTTTGAGTTAAATATCATCAAAAGACACGTTTTCACACTTTAATGTTAAGCGAATATCTAATGAGGAAAGTGTATAAAAAATAATCCAAGGTCACAAACACTGCGAGTCATCAAGATACTGTTAAACCCTTTCTACGTATGCCTGACCATAACAAATAACGCACCCTGATTGTAGTCGGTTGGTGATATTATCTAACTCTTCAAACACTTCAATCTGCCCGTAACCAAGACTATAAAACAAAGGTACATCTAAACGCGGCATCAGAATTCTATAGTTTTGTTTAACAAGTTAATCTAAATCAGTTCAAAACGTGTAAAAAAACACACACAGAGACACATAACGCATCATTTAGTTGGTTCGTAATAAAAATTCCATAAGGTTTAATTCGATCTGTTTTCTGACGCTCGATTCAATGCCGTGTTCAGTGATTCAAACACAATTACATCTGTTATTTAAAGCTAAACTATCGCCGGCGGCACCCTCGATGCTGCAGGGCTCATTTAACCCCCTCGATCATAAACAGCACAATAACTGACTAGCAACGGGGCGGCCGCGAGAAACTGATTGCCGCCGCTTAAATGGAAGGCTCTCATTTCGGGACGCGTTCCTTTGTTTATTTATTGGCCTTAACGCTGGAGTTTTTTCAAAACTCAAGATAATCTAATGTATATATAGTCTACAATAAATAAATAAATACCGTACCTTTTTAATGTTTTGTACCTCCCTTATGCAATATTAAGTTGAAAATATATTTAAATTAAAAACGTAGTATATTTCAAAATATCTGAATTTTTAGATAATGCAATCCCAGAAAAAAAAACAAGCAAAGCATCTTCTAAAAGTCGTCAATACATAGTTTGAATGAGTATTAAAATATGTAGAAAACATTCTTCAAAATTGAATTGGTATTCTTCTAGTAGGGTAGCACCCTATTAGTTACTTGGTATTATATTTAGATTTCCTCGTTGACGCCTTTATCATTTCTGATAATTAAGTTAGTCTAGACAGTAGAGGTTTCACTTTACAATGATGCAAAATGGATATGCTTTTAAAAAGTTAAGGCTGCGGTAAGTATTAGTTTTTGGAATCATTTTAACCAAAATTCTATATTCATATATAAATGTAGAAAAAAAATACAACTTCTTTTTACTTGGAAAAAGAAGATATATTTCACTGATCCCTCAATCGCTGCCAGGCGCACAGGCACACTAAAACTGGAATAAATCAATCAAACTTCCCCAACAAATATCATAACTCGCGGACGAACGACTCCTGGAAAACTTAAATTACTCTTTTTTTCCGCATTACGAGTGCGAAAAATCTTCTTGACGGGCTGCGTAATTGATGGCGCCGAAAAAGAAAACCGGCAACTCGGAATCCGGCAAAGTTTTCACGTCAGCCGAGTTTCACTTAAAGAAGTTCTTACATTCATTTGCAAGTTGTCCCTATACGACAGGCTGACAAATTTTAATGAAGCCAAGAGGGTCGCTAATGTCTGCGCGCCGCGTAATGGGAAAACTTCTACGTGTCAGTTGCCGCCAGTTTTCATCCAAGGTTTTTATTGAAAATCCATTTTTTATAATAACTATACACAATGCGTAAGAAAAGGTATTACTCTTTAGCAACCTCTTAATTTAAACGATAGTAAACCAACATTTGCCCGCAGTTCTTCTTATATTTCCCAATTGACAAAATAGATAAACCTTGGTTTATTAGTCTGTCACTCTGAATACGTAGATATGTAATGCCTCACATACCCAACAAACGAATCGTTACACGTTTGTGAAAAATTACATAATT